CTTTTATTATTTAATAAAAAAAACTTTTTAATGTTTTTAAATTATCGAAATCATCGTAATTAGTATGCATTCAAAATTAAAGTTATGCCTTTAATATTTAGTTCAAAAGGTATAGAAAAAAGAGTTCAATAACGAAGGTGAATCAACATTTGTAAATTTTAGATATATTTAGCGTTTTGTATCAATCATTTGTAAATTGAGACGGGTTGGAAAGTTTTTTTTTTTTTTTGACCGACCTGACATTTTGGATGGGTTAGGTTGGTAATTCAAGTAACACCGATAAATTTCACAACTCAATCAATCTAGCCCTTTATTTTCAAGTTGGGTTGGACGAGGTTCTTTTTTATTTTGAATTATTTAAAAAATCATACTATTTATAATTCAGGTTAAATTAATAACTAAAATCTCGTAAAATTCAAATATAAATATTCATAATTTAGAGTTAAATATTATTAATCTGTGTTAAGTTTGATTTTTTTACTCAAATAATAATAATAATAATAATAAAACCTAACCCAACTTCTTTTTCACTAATTTGAATGAATAATTCTCAAATTATATGAAGATTTGTATTAGAGAATTCTATGAAAACATAAAGATATATATATATATATATATATTTTTGATAGATGGTTCATGTGATATGGCGAGGAGGTGGCTTGTTCTTGTTGCATACGCAGTTGGCTTCTCCTCACTCAAACCTACACCACATTTTCTCTCTTTGTTTCTATCAATACCCATTTTATTTTCCCCTCCAGACATTAAAATTTTAAATTTCTCATACATTTCACTTTCAAAATTCTAATAATTTACTTTTATAGCATTTGTTCATATGCTCATTTCAAACGGTATGTACTATACTGCCGACTGCAGCGCCATCATTATATTCCTATATAAATTTAGCCACACCCCATTATTAAAAACAGCCCAAACCAGAGCGACACAATGGACGCCGAGCACCAAATCAAAGCTAATCCCAAGCTTTGTTTTTCCCCGCAGAACAAAGCTAAAAGAGAGCCCGGAGGATGGAAGAGCATGCCCTACATACTCGGTCGGAGTCTATGTCCTTCTTTTACTCGATGGGTTTTTCTTTGATGGGATAATTGTCTGATATTTTGGTGTACTTGCAGGCAATGAAACCTTTGAAAGGCTGGCTTCCATGGGGCTATTGGCTAACTTTATGGTGTATCTCACAAAAGTGTATCACATGGATCAGGTTTCTGCCACTAGCTTAATGGGTCTATGGACCGGCGTCACCAATTTCCTGCCCCTTCTCGGCGCCTTTCTCTCCGACGCTTATGCCGGCCGCTACTGGACTATCGCCGTTGCTTCCTTCTTTTCTTTCCTCGTAATCCTTCTCTAATTTTCATATAATAAATTTTGGAGTTTATCTTTTTGAAGATTCGGTTGGGGATATTTTATTATTTCTTTCATCTATCAATTCATAATCATTGAGCAGGGGATGACTTCCATGACTTTGACGGCGTGGCTGCCTCAGCTACATCCGCCGACGTGCAGCGGAGCGAATTGCGAAGGGCCGACGGCGTCCCAATTGGGGTTCTTAGTGATGAGTCTATGTTTGGTATCAATTGGTAGCGCCGGGATCAGGCCGTGTAGTATTCCGTTCGGGGTGGACCAATTTGACCCCACCACCGATAAAGGAAGGAAGGGAATAGCTAGTTTTTATAATTGGTACTATGCCACTTTCTCGGTGGTTTTGGTGTTTACTTTGACCATCGTTGTGTATATTCAAGATTCTGTTAGCTGGGTTTTGGGGTATGGCATACCCACAGTGCTTATGTTTTGTTCCATCGTTCTGTTCTTCATGGGGACTCATGTTTATGTGTTCATTAAGCCTGAAGGTAGCATCTTTACAGGGTTAGCTCAAGTCGCTGTTGCAGCCTACAAGAAGCGCCACCTTGAGCTTCCTTCTTTAGATGACCGGACGGCTTTCTATGACCCTCCTTTGGAACCTGCCTCGGTTGTCCTCTCCAAGCTGCCTCTCACCAACCAATTCAGGTCTCTTCCATACAAATTTAAATTAATAAAGACTTTAATGATATTGTACACTCCCCGCGTAAACTCTCGCAACTTTGCTTTAAACTTCCTCAAAAGATTTCGTACCAATGAAGATATATTTCCTCCCAATAATTTCCCACTCCAACAAAGTACACTATATTGAAGCCTATGAAACCCTTGAAAATCTCTCCTTAGTTGAGGTGGGACTCGTTTCACTGGAGTCATCGAATAAAGTACACTCTTTATTCGACATTTGAGTCACTTTTGACTACCATTTCAAGGGTTGTTATACCCTTCATTCAACATTTGAGTCACTCTTGACTACACCTTCGAAGGTCGTACACCATTTGTTCGACATTTGAGTCACTTTTGATTACACTTTTGAGGGTCTAACTTCGTTGTTCAACATTCGATGATTCTATTGACATAATTAAGTTAAGAGCATGACTCTGATACTATATTAAGAATCATAGATATCCACCTGGACTTTACTAAAAGGGTCTCGTACTAAAAGAGAGTATTCCTTATTTATAAATCCACTATGATTCCTTAAATTAGCAACATAGACGATATAGAACTCCCTTCCAACCATCGTGGATACGACCTCGGTGGTTAGTTTATTTGAAAATTTGTTAATGAAGTCTAGTGGGTTTGAAAAATTTGCAGTTTTCTGACCAAGGCAGCCATAGTTGTGGAGAAGGAGCTAAACCCAGATGGAACAAGGATAAACAAGTGGAATCTAAGCAGCATACAGCAAGTGGAAGAATTGAAATGCTTGGTGAGAGTTGGACCCATCTGGGTCACCGGAATCCTGAGCCTGACTCCAATTATTCAGCAAGCCACTTTCTCAATCTCCCAGGCTCTGCAAATGGACCGTCACATGGGACCCAACTTCCAAATGCCACCTGCTTCAATCATCGTCATATCCTTCCTCACAATCACGTTTTTCATCCCCCTCTACGACCAATTCCTCGTCCCCGCCTTTAGAAAATTCACCCAACACCCAAACGGCATAACAGAGCTCCAACGAATGGCGGTCGGGATAATCTTCGCCGTTCTGTCCATGATCGTCGCCGGAATAGTGGAGAAAGAGAGAAGAAACCGGGCGAATGGACCCAACGGCGGTTCAATAATGTCGGTGTTTTGGCTGACCCCGCAATTCTTCTTGATGGGGCTTTGTGAGGCATTCAATATAATCGGGCAGATCGAGTTCTTCAATAAGGAGTTTCCAGAGCATATGAGGACTATGGGCAACGCTTTCTCCTCCTGCTCCATTGCCTTGTCAAGCTATGTCAACACTGCCATGGTCCTAATTGTGCATCGAACCACCGGCAGCGGCGGCGCTCATGGGAAACCCGATTGGTTGACCAATGACCTGAACAAAGGCAGACTGGATTACTTTTACTACGTTGTTGCAGCAACAGCCTTTTTTAACTTTTTCTTTTTTATTTACTGCGCCAAGAATTACCATTACAAGGGTAAAGTATCCGACTCTCAACAGGATTTGGAACTTGTAATAGCCTCCGACAAAAAGCTGGATGTCTGAATTTCGTACTTAATAATTAATTCGTTACCCCACTTATTATTATACAAAATTATTATTGGAGTCCATGTTTCGTCCATTAAGGGGACGAAGATTATAGAAGTAGTTGATTTAAGATATTTTTTTAATAGCGAAGTAGTTGATAAGAAATCACTAGAACATAAGATTCAGAATATATTGTTGATATCTTAAGTAAGAGCATTTCAAATTACGTTGTTGATTGAATATCTCATTTAAAAAGATTTGTTTGAGATTCAAATTACTCCATAAGAAAAATAGATCATGTCAAATTTGAATGATTTTAAACATGTAGCCTAAACTATTTAAAATTGCAAAGAAAAGTTTGTTTTTTTTTACTACATTTCCAAGTCATGACTTTTTTTTAGTGATTAGAAGATTCAAAACGAAGACTTATAATTCATGAGAAATTACAATATTTTGTGAGAATTTGAATAACATTTTCTTTCACGCACGGGACCACGCACCTTCAATCATGCTAATGAGGAGAACAATTGGCCAATGCCTTCCTCTCGATCATTGCTACCTGTGCGAAAACTTTGGTGGCCATAATTGTACACAGTATCAACTGTCAGCCTTGGAAAGTCTGATTTGGCCACACACGTTGGAAAGTTGACAATCACTGCTATATTTGCTTATTCAACTGGTTTTTGCTGGTGTTATGTGGTAGTCATTGTCGGTACGAGAAAGCTGTTAGAGTTTATGTGGACAAGGTTGCATGGATGGCGTTGATTCCAAATAAATTGGCTGTTGGGGGAAATTTGACATACTTTAATGCCCCAATTCAAACAATGCCTCTCAAATAGAGAATTGTCGAGTTTGTTCAACACATTTCGTCAAACTATAGCTGAGTAGCAAAGTTAGGCCTGAGCATAAAATTTCTCCTATAGTTATTGGAGAGTTCTCGTCGTGAATGTGATCTTTGTACTACGTGGTTGAAACAATTTGAGTTGGAAAAAGATATCAACTTGCCCTGCTCGACTTTAGTCTTAGTCATATGGCATGCATGCAGGAGCCTAATTATATATATGAACAACTAAATTTACTAATTTGTTGGACTTAGGATCAAATTTTATATTAAAATATTTTCGATGAAAAAAATATTTAAAAAATTTAAACGGTATATTGGTATAAAATGAATATCGGGACCTTTAAAATAATAAATTTAGTGATATATAAATTAAAATTAAAAAAAATTGAAATTAAAATGATAATGGGTAAGTTATTATTATTATTATTATTTTATATAGAAAAGGTCGGTTTACTTAATTATATATTGAATTTCGAATAATAATAACAATAATAATAATAAAGGAAGAAAAAAAACAAAAAGAAGTTTGGCCCAATTGTAGTGGATCGAAGAGAGCCCAGGGATAGGCCTTAACCCTCTCTCTTGTATCTCTCTTAAATTGAGTCTCCATCCCTCCCGCCTCCTCCTCTTTCCCCAATCGCATTCTCTTTACACTTACAGAAACCTTTCAAAACCCTCGGTCTACTGTCCCTCCCATCACCACTGATTCTTGGTGGTGCTCCGACGATTGCCCTCTTTACCACCGCCTTCGCCGGACTAAACAATGGCGGCTGCAGCTTCCTCTGATGTTTCCGATGGACCAGTCCTCAGCCTCATCAACAAGCGTCTCCGCGCCCTTCGCAAGAAGCACAATCGCATCATTCTGATGGAGGAGGCAATTTCTCAGGGAAAGCCCATTAACAAGGAGCAAGAGGACGTCCTTCGCTCTAAGCCTTCCGTCACCGCTCTCATCGATGAGCTTGAAAAGCTTCGTCAACCGCTATCGTCGGCTGTCTCTGAGGAAATTAACTTGGCCGTTCAACGCCAGCAGGCGAGTGTCTCCTCTCAGCCCGTTGTAACCGATGATTCGCCTTCGGAGGTTACGGATGACAAACCGAGTGGCGAGAAAGACCAGTCCGAACACGCTGTGGTCGAGGACCTTCTAAACCTCCTTTATTTTGGCTCTTTGTTTGACGTCAAATCTCAAAGCGATTTTACTTCTACGATGCTTACGAGAACGCACGAAAGAAGTTGCTGCATCACCTACGATTATGTCACCGACGATGCTACCGATCTTCTTGCCGAGAGGGATTTGGATTTGATATCGACGATGAGCGGCCTATTGGTCTCTCGTCCCGTAGATTCGAATTTGCCGCATAAGAATGCATTGGAGCGTTGCATCGAGCACGCTAAACTCTGGCTCACGAAGGCTGATCAGCCTATTGAGCCCAACACGGACGTTACTTGTATTGTTTTTTCCCTTATTTCTACTCGATTTATTTATCGCTAGTTTTGTTCGTTTAATTTCGTTCTTTCCTTTTAGATGTTCTGTTGACTTGTAATACAACTTTGTAGATGCAAACTTGAGGGAGAGGCTGCACAAGATCATGGCGTCAGATTACTTCACTACCACACCTGAGATAAAAGGTCCTGTTGAGGTAGCTGCTGTTGCTGCAGGAAACTATGCCAATTTCCAGGTTCCGGTGGCTGTCCATGAAGAAGAATCAGATGAAAAGTTTCAACATACGGTATTATTGGATTCTCATACCATATGATATTATTCATCTGTTACATGATCTCTTTTAAATGAATGTCAAGTAATTCTTCTAAGCAATTTGTTTCATCCGTCGTGCAGTGCTTTTCATTAACTTAATGCCTTTCATCAAACTCTCTTTTAAAATTGCAGTTAGAATAGGAATGAAAATTCTTTTAAAAAAGAGAGAATGACCTTTTCCTGTAGGAGTTTGATCAAGATGAGAAACCTTTCTGTTGATTTGTGGAGCTTGGAAACCTTTACATACATTGGTTACTATGGTGGGAGCTTCCCTTCATACTAGTTGAAGTCTCCTAATCTTCCTCCTTGCACTCTTCCAGCATTTTCTAAATATGTCCCTTTTTCAATGCTTTATAGCTTATACCATTTTGGCAAATTAGCTGATTTTCATGGTATCTTTTCTCAAAGATGGCAAAAGTTTACAAGCTTGAGTAAGAAGTAAAGGCTTTCTTTGACACAAAGGACAACGATTAGTGATCAACCTAACTTCTTGACTGTTTCTTCCTGCCTCGAAAAACAAATAACTGTCTTACTGAGGTTGACATAACAAAGACTTTGGAGGAAGTGTATGTGTTTTTCCCCTTATTTTGTACTTCCTTCTTGTTTAGACATGGGCTATTTGACCTTGTCTTGTCCAAAGCCTGCTTAGAAGGATTCTTGCCGATTTGTTACCCATCAGCTGAAGAAAACAGAACCACCATCAACCATGGGAGGAGGTATTTGGTAATTTAAAAATAAGAAATTGCTCGGATTTACTTCAAAGTGAAGGGTAAGAATTTGAACTTTTGACCTCATGGAAATGAGTCAAACGCCTTAATGACTAAGCTATGCACATGTTGGAAAACCTTTGAAGGGGTAGGGATTTGAGCCATGTCTATGAGTTTGAAGAAACTACTAGAGGAGAAAGCTTTATGGAGATTTGCTATTGAGACCTAATTAGCCACTTCTCATTTTTGTTCACTCTTAAACTTCCATTTCTTGCTCATCACAAGGCCCTTGAAGGTGTTTTCCATGCACAAAGGCCTCATTAATTTTGATGTTAAATCATTCGTTGTAAAGCTTAATCAGTAGTGATCTAAAGGTCTTGTACCTATGCTTGGGAAAATTTGTGCTTGAGCGAGGCCAATGCTTGCTTTTTGAGATCTTCCTTAATTCTTCTCAATATTCAATTATAGAGCCTCCTTATCCTAGATATTTGTAGTCCTCTAATCAACTCTTAGAAATCTAGGCATAAGAAGAAACTTTAAGGAAGATGAATTTGTTGAATTCGCCTTCCTATCTCGCTTTCTTTTTTATTTCTGGCCAAACAACCACATTTGATCATTGGACTCAGCATTCAGATCCCCGTGGCAGCTTGGCTGTAGGCTTCCTCCTTAAAGATTTAGTCAGCCACAGCTCCCTGTCTTTGTGCTTTTTCCTTAGGGCGGTTCAGTCTTTGCAAGAAAGATCAGAAACTCAAAGTCGGCCCTTGCTTGCTCATTTACTGGTGGTTTCTTTAACTTTATACTCCACCTTCAATTGGCACATGGCCTTCCCGAAAGACAACAATAGGCTAACACATGATTTTTGCAGAAGTTGGACCCTTCAGTTTAAGAGATTTGTCGGTAAAGAGGTACAATAGAATCTTCAACAACAAGAATAAGTTGTTTAGTTGGGTTATAGATTTATTACCATTTGTGGCTCCTTTTTGGCTTAAACTCTCGTTTGCTTCCATTTTAGAACTTTGTAGCTTAAGCACTATTTTAGGCAATTGGAAGAGCCTTTTACATCTCCTTTGTATTTTAGCCTGGCTTATGGTATTCTGCCCATCCTTCAAAATTTCATATTGTTTCTTATTAAAATAAATGTTAAATATATGTCTTAGTCCCTAATGTTTGAGTTCTTGTTGCTTTTTTTATTTAAAGAAACTAATAAATTCACTTATGTTTTAATGTTTTTCAATCATTACCCTTCTCTTTGGTGGATATTTTGGTTGCTAATAAATTTACATGATATCATATTTAGCGAGTTGTTAGAAATTTAAAGGAAGAATTAGGCCACCTAAGACTAAGGGAAGATTGATTATGCAGACAAAATTTATTAGTTCTTTTTTTACATTAAAAAAAAAAACTAATAAATTTGGTCACGTATGTTTTAATGTTTTTCAATCATTACCCTTCTCTTTGGTGGATGTTAAAATTTGGTTGATAATAAATTTACTGTAAATGATATCTAGTGAGTTGTTAGAAATTTTAAGGAAGAACTAGGCAACCTAAGACTAAGAGAAGAATGATTATGCAAACTTAGACATTTGGAGAAAAAATTAGAAACTTTCCTCCCTTAAGTGGCCTAATTCTTACTTTAAGTTTGCTTAAACTCACCAAATATCATACCATGTAAACTTTACATCAATTGATTTTTGCATTCACTAATGTTGAAGTTTTAATTGAAAACTAAATTGAAAAAACATTCATACATCAGGGTGAAAATAAACATATGCTACATATAGGATGTTCACAATTTCAAATTTATTGGGTGTTTGGCTGACACATTATACAATTATTCAGTGGCCATAAGTTCAAAGAAAAGCAAGAAATTCTATGGCTGAATGCAGTTAGCTGTAGCTTGAGTCTATGTTTTGAGATGATTAACTGGATCATTAAGAAGAAAAAAGGATAGTGGTGGAAGGATGTGATGTTGTATTATTGTATAAGTAGGTTTTAGGAAGTTAGGTTATCCATTAGTTGGTTGGCAATTCGTTGTCATTTGTAATTTAGTAACTTGTTTTTCCTATTCTTTTGACCGTTGAAGGTTGTTAGGAGCTGGTATAAAAGCCAGCCCTTCTGTTAACTTCTATTTAATTTTTTTGGATATAAGAAAAGTTACTTTTGTGGTTGATGCTTCATATATTGCATTTTTATAAGCTCTAAATATATTAACTAGCTTGCCTTATTTTGAGATTTTGCAATAACAACGTTTTTCTATCTCAGGATTTCCGTTCTATCAATGAAATGAAAAAAAAAAAAAAAAAAATCAACGTTTCTCCTTAAAAAATGTTTCAAGTATAGGGGAATGTTGATTTTGTATTATAATTTCTTACCAAATCAATGAAAATATATAGACATCAGATGCCTAAATCTTATACATTAAGTGTTCTGAGGAATCTTTTTTTCTTTTGTCTTTTTTTGTTGTTTGTATTAGACCACTCAACTGTTTTAGCTTGTTGCATTGTGCTGAGTGTTCAACCATCTTCATAAATGCTATTGAAACTTTTCCCAAGGAAATAGTACGATGTTTTGTTTCCGTTTGTTAATCGCAATCCCTGTAGGATGCCTTCAGCATTAAATCATTGGGTGGGGGTTAATGTTCTTTCTGGATAGGAAAGAAGAGAGACCGTAGTTTAGCCTTCTCCTTTTCCTCTGGGATTTGAGTTTTTTTTTTATCCCTTGTTTGATCATAGAAAATTACATGCTTGGCTTTGTCGGAAAACTACCGATTCAAAAGTACATCTTTATTTTGTCAATAGCCTTGGGAAAAAGATTGTCACAATGTCTCTCCTCTGGATTCATTCTTTTCTGCCAACTTTTCTCATCTGAATTCTTAAGTTGCTTAAGTAATGGAGTAATTTGATTTATTAGTGGTTGAGTTTGCTGCTTTATAGCAATGAGCAATTGATGAAGTACCTCAAACCTAGGGTTCAGTTGTTTGAAATTATTATTGAAGTTTTTTTTACCTTCAATTTTTTTGTTTATTTGTGTTACTGTTACAAAATTTGAAAATAATATTGTATAACTCCTTAATTTGTAGGATGTTGATGTGGGAGACTTGCAAGGAGATGATATCAGTGATGGTCAACCTGGTTCTGTTGACGAGATGCCCCGGGTATGCCCCAGTTTTGTTAATCTTTCTGTAGTACTTCATTCTCTATATAGCCGACCCCTTGTTTTATTGTACTTTTTGGGTGTCTTTATTTGAATATGGAGACTTCTGCTTTGCAGGATGTGCAAGAAACTGGAAATTCTTCTGAACTCGTCACACAGCAAGAAGTGAGACCAGAAGAAGAATTTGAGCAGAAACATGCGGACGGAGATGCAAAAGATCAGCAGTATGTTCCTCGAAGGGGCTATATGAACCAAAGAGGTGGCCGTGGAGTTGGTGGCCGAAGAGGATATTCTAATGGTCGTGGAGGTCGAGGCGATGGAAGGGGAGGAGGATCCTACCAGAATGGACGCAGCCGATATTATGACCAGTCAGGAAACTATTATCAGAGGAACTACTACAATGGTCGAGGAAGAGGTGGGAGGGGCGGTGGCCAATCTTACAACAGTCATGGTTCAGCCCAAGGCGCTCCCAACTCTAACTCTAACTCTGCAAGTGTTGGCGTGGCTTTGTGATGACGGTATTGATATGTCCTCGGAGTGTTTCTCAGAAGTGGGTGGGTGATGCGAATGTTTGTTGCTTTTCATTATTCTCTCTCTCCATCTATGGACATTGGTCCTCGTTGAATTCACCATCCTACATCTTGTTTTTGTAGCTAGTTTTGATGGATCCAATGGAACCTGTGTACAAAAGGGCAGATATTGCCAAACCGTTTGATCCTAAGTTATTTTGTGGACACGAGTTGCCGATGTTTAGACGCGTATGTTAAGGTATGATATGGTTTTCTCGTTTTCTTATCAAGTGTTCTTAGTCCTTAAATAACATACGAATCTAGACTCGTTGAATAACTTCACTGAATCAGTTTGGAAAAGCTTGTTCCCTCTGATGTAGTGTAACTTGGTGCTAATTGAACTGAAATTCTGTCTAGAGGAATTTCCATTGGTAGTAGTGTGTTTAGTGTTGAGTGCACTGAACTTCTCTCTAACTTCAGTTTTCTTTTACCACAAGGATTTTTAAGTTCATTCCTCCGATGAGAATTAAAATCACATAATTCCATTCACCCATTTCATTTCTCTTCCCATCTTTCTAGTTGTTTGAATCTCCAATTAGGTTAAGATTTTCATAATTGCATTTAGGCATTTCTATAACTTTGATTTGATTGTTTTATCAATAAATCAATTGATTCATAAACAACATTCAACATTTGTTGATTTTTTCAAAAAAAAAAAAATCCTAAATTTTGTACACATTGAAAATATGGACGCCTTTCAGTTGTCAAGTTTATTCCATTTCCACAATTTGTTAGGAAGGTTCCCAAAAATATTCTAACTTCCATTATTATTTGTATTTGTAATGCAACTAGGAAGTGTGATGCCCTTTTCAGAAAAAATTGCGTTTGTTTTAATGTTACATGATCAGAATGTTCGAGAGTAAAGGATGTGCGCATAAATGCAAAACAGACCTAATTTCATCTCTAAAGAGGGCCTATTACCTCTACAGCGAATTCAAACCTCTCGAATTTTCATATTAAAAATGCTACTTTAAAAGTATTTATTTAGTAATGTAAACTTTATTAATACACTTATTTTAAATTTAGTCTTAAAAATTTCTCTATATATATATTTTATTTAGTTCACTTTACTGTTTTCACAGAGTTTATATTTAATAAACTGATTAATTTTGAAATATTTTAATTTATCAGAAATTTAATAAACTCAAAATTAAAATTTATTATTATAATATTCTATTATATCAACCTTTTTATGTAACGAACAACAATTTTACATTATTCGAACAATCATCATTTATTCTCCACCTTCGATTGTCCATATAAAAAGCAAAAAGCTAAACGAAAAAAAAAATAAAAAAATCCTCCATTTATTTTAAGTTCGTGTTTGTAATTTTGGCAATTTAATTTTTTCTTTCCTTTTCGGGGATTTATCTCCTTTTTTTTTTTTTTTTTCTTTTCCTTTTTATCCATCAATTTTGGAGATTTCAAATGGCTAATAGATGCAGTTGAAAAAGTAAAAGAGAATAAATTACAATAAATTAAAATAAATGTGTGATTATGTTGGGATGAGTGAGATAAATTCATTATATTTAATTTTTTGAAAAGTATATGTATAATTAATTATGGTAGAAGTTTATATAATTTTATTAAATTTATTTACATAAAAATAATAATTAAGATTGTTGGCTAAATAAATAAAAAATCCTAAAATTTTAAAAAATAACTTAAAACTTAATTGAATAAAAGCAAAATGACTTCCAACCATTAATTATTTAAAGTCCGATCACAATCAAATAAAAATATTATTTATTTATAGGAATCATATTTTTTCTTCTCTTTATATAAAGCTGATCATCAGCCACGTCTTGAAAGCTGTGTATTCGAACAAGATTTCTATCTTAGAAGAGGCTCAAACAAAGATCTGAGTTCAAAACTTGAAGCTTCAATTTCAAAGAAATGGGAGCAAGCTTTACAATCCCACGTTCAAAATCTTCCAATGCAACATTACAAGCCATGGCTCCCACCATTGTGAAGTGCCACAACAAAGCAGAGTGGACAGCTCGTTTGGAAGCTACAAGGGAAACAAACAAGCTTGTAAGTTTCATACCAACTCATTATCCCAACATATATAGGGATGCATACGCTTTGGGTTTGTGATTTCTTGTGCTGCTGGTTTGGTATAGATGGTGATTGACTTCACTGCTGCATGGTGTGGACCTTGTCGACAAATGGAGCCGACCATCGAGAAGTTTGCTTTGAGGTTCAAGGATGTCGAGTTCGTCAAAATCGACGTCGATGAGTTGATGGTATGAGCTTTCAATCTTGTTTTGATTCAGTGGATGAGTTTGAACGTGACTGACTGTGTTGAAAAAATGGATGACAACAGGATGTTGCAAAGGAATATGGAGTGGATGCAATGCCAACATTCATACTGATTAAGAAGGGGAAGGTAGTTGATAAGGTGATCGGAGTCAGGAGGGAGGACCTGCAGAAGAAGATTGAGAATCATAGTAAATATTGATGGATGCTCCTCTTGAAGCTTCTCAATAAGCCAGGAAGAACTAGTGCTATAGAACAAACTAAAATGGTGTTTATTTTATTATTCCAGCCCTTCTCACTTCTGATATTAAAAAAAGAAAGAAAATATTGTCCAATCTCTCTGTCTTTCTCTTCCTCTGCACAAATTACACACAAAGTATTGTAACGTTTCAAGTACACCACTAGAAGATATTGTCCTCTTTAGACAAACGTGTCAGCTAGGGAGAGGTAAGCCCATCGCTGGTAGATATTATCCTTTTTGAGCAAACACGTCTGCTAGAGAGAGGTTTCCACACATTTATAAACAATGCTTTGTTCTCCTTTCCAACTGATGTGGGATCTCACAATCCTCCCCTCTCCCCCCTCCTTTTCAGAGCCCAACGTCCTTATTGACACTCGTTCCCCTCTCCAATCGATGTGGGATCTCATAATCCAACTCCCTTCGGACCAAACATCCTTGCTAGCACACCACCTCGTGTCTACCCCCATTGGAGCTCAACCTCCTCGTTGACACATCGTTTGGTTTCTAGCTCTAGTACCATTTGTAACAGCTCAAGCCTACCGCTAGCCGATATTGTCCTCTTTGGACTTTCTCTTTTAGGTTTCCTCTCAAGGTTTTTAAAAAGTGTTTTCTAGGGAGAGGTTTCCACACCCTAATAAAGAATGTTTCATTCACCTCTCCAACTGAGGTGGAATCACAAGTACATAACAAAAGTACCGGTAGCCCAGCCATGTGAAAGTCGAGAAGATTTTGGTAATGCTAGAAAATTTTAGAAGATAAGAAAAGGGACAATTGCATAACTTATTCAACACCAGTGGACGCAAAGAATGCACCAAATTCAAAGCTAATAACATACAAATAATCTTACATTAACTTCCCGTAAAAATGTGTGATCACATAATGCAACATTATTATAATAAAATCAAAGTAACTTTTGGCTACACGGGCAGTGGATGAAGAATGCCAGATTTCTCTTCCTAAATCATATTTCCAGGAATCAATCAAACAGTTCTTCAAAATCCTAGTATGCACAATTCTCCTTTCCGGAGATTAAGACAGGTATTTACATGTTTTTGTGCTCTCATTATCGATCCACGGTGTAGAAGGTTCGTCGTGGTGGCTGCTCCAGAACGCAACTTCTTAATCAAAACCACCCAAAGCCCTTCTTAGATCAGATTTCTGTTCAAAAGTAAGCATTGATGGGAAAATGATATCAAACTTGATCCTTAGGTTCCCCTTCTTGTTTGGTTCTTTAGAGATGGGCATTCCTTCATTCTGGATCACTACCTCGTAACCGGGTTTGACAATATCAGTTACAGAAGTGAGATTTCTTCCATCCAAAGTTGTAACGTTCAATGTCTTTCCAGTGAGTGCTTCTAATAGAGATATTTTCTGATTGATTACCAAATCATTACCATCCCTCTCAAATACAGGATGAGGTTTCTCATCGATGATAAATATAAGATCAGCAGGAGAAACTCCAGGTTCTTGATTGCCTTTCTCAGGGAAAGTGACTTTTGTCCCCTTCTTCCAACCAGGTTTAATATCTATTTTTAACACTTCATCAACAGTTTTTGGCTTCCTACAAAACAAGTTCCTTGAATAAGCCTAAATTGAGGAGGAAAAAGTGAAGAAGAAAATGAAAGAACATTGAAGATACAATGAGATCAATGAAATAAGGTGTCAATTGTGAGCTTGATTGCAATGTGATGCAAGAAAGAAAGAACAAACTTAAGTTCATCTAATCCAAATCAATATTGCTTTCCAATTCAGCAATAAAAGCATACTTATTACTCCTAAATAACAGAAGATATCATTATAGATGCTTTAGTCAGCTGGAAGTTATAAAAAAGAGCAGCCTTGTGGTTATTGAAGGTAGAAGCACAAAGTCCTTTCCTGATCATAAACATAATGTCAGAGTATAATGTTCAAAACATCATAATCTACCCATTGTCTTTCTGCAATACATGCACAACCATCCAATTAGCTACACAAGTAGGCTTCACAGCTTAGGTAGATAAGAGTTCGAAATAATATGCAATTCTATTCAGAGTTGCACACCACTGGTTCATAATTGTTCATCCTGTCGCCTTTCTATCAATGGTAAAAGTAGAACAGAAGGAATCATTTGCCATGTAAAGGGATATCAATATCCTGATAATCCAAGGCAGCTCAGCCAGGAAAAAGGAATAATATTTTCCTCTACATCTCCACCCCTTAAGTTTTTACAGCATCAAAGATCACTACTAGTAACCCATGGACATTCATCGACACCATTCGATGCAATCGAAACAAATTAGAGCTATAAGCATTTAACGTTTTGTTTCAACAAAAACAGAGAAAGTAAACAAGGGATTTTACTTACCCAAAATCATCGGGGACAGTGCGGGAAATCCTCATCTTTCTTCGCGAACCCTTGTAAATCTCCTCCAAGCTACACATTAACTTGCTCTCAATTGGCGGTGCTTTCCTATTCGATTTCTTCCCAGCCTCCGCCTTCCCATTCCTAAACAAACTCTCTCTCTTAAACCCTCCGCTCTTAGCACTCCCAGCTCCGCCGAAAAACTCGGCAAAAATGTCATCGGCATCGCGAGGGAAATAAGAAAAAGAGGGATTGGAATCGGGCGGAGGAACAAAATCGGCGGAATTGAGAGCCTCCTCACCGTAGAGATCGTAGATCTGACGCTTCTTAGCGTCGCTTAAAACATCATAAGCCTCAGAGATCTGCTTGAACTTTGCCTCCGCCTCTTTCTTGTTGGAAGGATTCTTATCAGGATGCCATTTCATAGCCAAGCTCTTGTAGGACCTCTTCAGGTCCTCTTCATTGGCATTTCTGTTCACCTTCAACACATTGTAGTAGTCCACCCCCATCAAACAGCTACGATTCTGCAACTCCTGTATCTCTCACAGCCTCGAAATGACGATTGTTCTACCGAAATCCCTGAGAGCCCAAAATTTCTTCGAATTGACTTCAGTTCTGGAAGCAAAGTTGAAGAAGAAGTGGAAAATCCGGGGGGAAACGGCCGTTGTACTGATCAGAAAATTGAGTGGCTGATTAATGGCTCTAATCGCGCATTTTTTAATAATATATATTTATTGTCAAATTTGCCTCCACCTGCTACCGTAACAGCTCGGTGACAGAATCTTGCGTGAATGACAACCGTGAATGGAGGACGCGATTTTCCTTATCCACGTGAGTGTCATCCCTCACCGGCCACCCCTCTCCTTTTGAATTGTCGGGCAACATAATGTTTAATGCAATTATTGATTTATTTATTTATTTTATTATATAATCTCTATTATTTGAAAGTTAGGTTTTTCTAATTAATTTAATTAATTTAAACCATCCATTATTAGTTGGTCTCATCAATATATATTTTGAGATTAATTCAAAATTATCATATTAAATACAAGAGTTTAATATAAATATTTTTGTATTTAAATACTTGTAAAATCATCAAATAGTGCAAAAGGTTCATTTATAAATCCTAATAAAATATTAAAGTGAGTTTGTTGGCATATGTTACTATTTAATTTTATCTATTTCGTCTTTAAAAAAATTCAGTAAATTAACAAATTGTGGAAAAAAAGGCCATTTAATTAAAAAAAAGAAAATATTTGATTAAGGTGACAGGCATGTGAGTTTATCACAAAGCACTACCAAACTATGGAACGTGCAGTCAAGTAGCGAATGGGGTTGCAGTAGGAAAGTGAGAGAGAGGGACATTTGTGTATTTTTACATATATTTTATTAATGTAATTATAAAATAAATTATGCATTTAATATGGAATTGGAATATTAGTCGGCCGTCGCCGCCGTGGGAAGCGCTGCCGAATGAGCCAAAAAAACATGTCCTTTTTCACTAATCAACCCGCTGGCCCCTAACATTTTTTACCCATAAGAAATGTTTTGTTTTGTTCCTTTTCCAAGTCTACTACTTGCAAATCCAACGTCCTTGCTGGCACATCACTCGATTCTAATTCTGATATCATTTGTAACAGCTCAAGTCCACCGCTAGTCGATATTGCCTGCTTTTACCCGTTACATATCGCCGTTAGCCTCACTATTTTAAAACGTGTTTACTAGAGAGAGGTTTTTACATGTTTATAAGAAATATTTCGTTCCCCTCTTTAATCAATATGAAATTTCAAATGATAATTGTGGCTTAGTCAAACAAGGTGGCTCGTGTCTGACGCTTGAGACAAGCTAAATGAGGTTGTATTAGGAGTTTGGTGCTCCACTTTAACACCTATAATGCCAACATGTACCACCAACCCCCCAATAACCACTTGCATTAGGTAGGCGACACAACTATAATTGATGACCATGTATGTTAAGTTCAATATGATTTATTGGTCGATAATATATGCTTAAATCAATTGAACTATGCTTAGGAGAATGACATAATGAAGATTTAAAATAATTTTAAAGACAAAAATATTAAGGCTAAGAATTTTTTTCATAGCCTACTCGGTAGAAATGTTCCACGTCTTAGATTAGATCCAATATAGTTCAATTCTACTTTAGTATGGAGTTTTACATCTATGATCTAGAACACACACATATGAGAAAGGATGCACTAGTTCATCGGTCGTGTAACTCATGTGAAAAAACTTAGTTAGGATCGATATTTTTCGATGTTCACATTTGATGATTTTAACACATATGATCAGCAATCGACGCTCGAAAATGATTTCACTCTTGGTCAACTGCTACGAGGAGTTTTGAGTGTAAAACACCTTTTCATCTTTGATGGATGCTTTGGCTTGTAGTGCTTCCTCCAATGACTCGTTTTTTTCTTCTTGCACTGCTCGTGTGCCTCTAGCAATCCAGCAAGATCTTCAACAGTTAGATCTTCTAGATCCTTCGACTCCTCGATGGTGTACACGACATTCTCATAATTCTCAGTTAGTGACCGCAAAATTAGCCCCACGACCCATAACTGAATTCAAGAAATTTATAAAAATTGAAGAAAAAAATAGAAAAAGAAAGATTCTTATTCATACTTCAACTGTTAATTGAAATAGAGTAAAGCCCTCCAAACATCTCCTTCTTGTTGGTTTAGGATTTGTCCATGTGTAGCGCTTCCACTGCCTCTTTATCCTCTTCGTGAAGTTCATAGCCATTTCGAATTCTGATGCTTGTCGGTGGAAAATGCTTCTGTCAATCCCACCAAATGGACAGTCTATTCCGGTGGAAATCAAGCATGAAACATTCCATGCCCGTCAAAGTGGGCTTCTTCACTTGCTGAGCAACTGTACTGATTTGTCGAGACTCAAGCAAATACACGCTCAGGCACTTCGCACCTTCTCCACCCACAAATCTTCTCTCTTCCTCTTTAGCCGAATTCTTCACGTTTCTTCACTAACTGATTTTGAGTATGCCTTACGTGTTTTTGATCAAATCGATAGCCCTAATTCGTTCATGTGGAACACTCTAATCGGAGCCTGTGCACGGAGCTTGGACCGGAAAAAGCAGGCGATTGAACTCTTCTACAGAATGTTAGAAGAAGGCTCAGTTGAACCAGATAAACATACTTTTCCTTTTCTTCTTAAAGCGTGTGCTTACGTATTCGCTTTATCTGAAGGGAGACAGGCGCATGCTCATATCGTTAAACGTGGGTTAGATTCGGATGTTTATGTTGGCAATAGCTTGATTCATTTATATGCTTCTTGTGGATGTTTGAGTTTAGCACTGAAGGTGTTCGAGCAAATGCCTCACAGAAGTTTGGTTTCGTGGAATGTGATGATTGATGCATATGTTCAACGTGGGCTTTTTGAAAATGCTCTCAAGCTATTCGCTGAAATGCAGGACACTTTTGAGCCCGATGGCTATACAATGCAGAGCATAATTAGCGCTTGTGCCGGTATTGGAGCTTTATCTCTGGGGATGTGGTCTCATGCTTATGTGTTGAGGAGGACCGGTGGTGCTATGGCTGGTGAGGTCCTGATCAACTCCTCACTGGTGGATATGTACAGCAAGTGTGGTTCTTTGAGGATGGCTCAGCAGGTCTTCGAGACAATGCCCAAACGTGACCTGAATTCGTGGAATTCAATGATTCTAGCACTCGCCATGCATGGACGGGCGGAGGCTGCCTTGGGATGCTTCTCTCGGTTGGTTGAAACGGAGAAGTTTCTGCCCAACTCTGTCACGTTTGTAGGTGTTCTTAGTGCATGTAACCACAGAGGTATGGTTACTGAAGGCCGGAAATATTTTGATATGATGGTTAATGAATACAAGATTGTACCCCGGTTGGAGCACTATGGATGCCTTGTTGATCTCTTATCACGCTCTGGTTTCATTGATGAAGCTTTGGAGTTGGTGACAAATATGCATATAAAACCAGATGCAGTGATCTGGAGGAGTCTTCTTGATGCTTGCTACAAGCAGAATGCTGGCGTTGAGCTGAGCGAAGAAGTGGCCTTGCAGATTCTTCAATCTGAAACAACAGCTTCTAGTGGTGTTTATGTGCTGTTGTCAAGAGTCTATGCTTCAGCACACCGGTGGAACGATGTTGGGTTAGTTAGGAAGGCGATGGCCGACAAGGGTGTGGCAAAAGAGCCTGGCTGCAGTTCGATAGAAATAGATGGTGTTAGCCATGAGTTTTTTGCAGGAGACACATCTCACCCCAAGATAAAAGAGATCTATGCTGTTATTGATTTGATTGAGGAAAAACTACAGAAGCATGGCTATTCACCTGACTATTCACAGGCAACCATGGTCGACGACCCCGATACCGTCAAACGGCAGTCACTTAAGTTGCATAGTGAGAGATTCGCCATTGCTTTTGGGCTACTAAACTTGAAACCTGGGATGCCAATACGCATATTCAAGAATCTTAGAGTATGCAACGACTGCCACCAGGTAACCAAGTTGATTTCTCGAATTTTTAACGTAGAGATTATCATGAGAGATCGTAATAGGTTTCATCATTTTGAGAATGGCATGTGTTCCTGCATGGACTTCTGGTGATTTATTCAAGAACCTGCAGTTTTTTCTTTAAACATCAATGATACAAAAAGCTTCCTAAATTTGGCTGCAATTACTGACATGGATTTACATCAATACACATCTTCTGGGGAATCCCTAAATCGACTTTTATGATCTTCCACATATGGCTTCAAAGTTGCTTTTGTTGTAATTATTTCTGTGTGGCCAAATGAAAAAAACATGTAGAATATGAGTGACTGGCTGGGAACCAAGGTCATCAGGCACCAATCTGAGACTCATCTGAGGAATGTAATAGCCTCAATCTCTTGTTCCCAATGGATTTCATAATAAACGTTGTTTTTCGAAGTCCTTCCCCACTGAAAAACAAAGATGGCCAGATGAATGTGAAGGAAAAAAGATAAAAACAAGGAATAATATGAATTCAGAAGTAGTAGAGCCAACTTAGAGAAATGCTCAAGAGCAACAGGGATTGAAGATCGTACATTTTGATGACTCGGGAACGGCAACCACATGCATGGTTGCATTGTTGGGAGGAAGTTGCAGGCGAAGGGGATAGAGATTACCATTTAATGGATTGCGGGTACACACAATGATACCTTTGATTCCTGTTTCTTCCTCCATTTTATGAGTCAGTTCCTCAACCCCATTTCCTTTGAACATAAAAGAAGAACCCTCCACTGTATCTTCATCTACATCTCCACTTTCATCAGCCACGTGGTAGTAAATCGTCCTTCCCTCAGATTTGGGAGGTAAACTAACAGTCGAATCAGTAGACTACAAGAAAACCCACAAAAATTGGTGATCAGAATTTGAAGGAAAGGAAGTAAAATCGATCAAATTCGCCTTGAAAAGAAGGTTTATAGAGATATCAAACCTCAAGTCTAGGGTAATTGGACGATTTGCCAGAGGCAGAAGGGGGCGAGCCGGGGTTGAAATCCAGAGAATCCATATGCTCAATTGTGGCAGCTTTATGATTTGCAGACTGGACTTGAATCTCAACAACGTCGATGTCCCAGAGGATCCAATCCTGTGTGGCGGTTCGACTCGGAATATCATGAGTGACCGAATTCCGCCATGGCGGTAGACCCCCATTGGCTCTCAAAAAATTCCCATATCGGGTCTTGAGCTTGACCTGGGACCCTTCTCTGACGGGTTCCCATTCGACAGACGAATCGAGCCGTCGAGGAAGGGTTTGAAGCACTTTCCGCCCGGTCATTCCGAGCAAGAAAGGCTGATTGCTGGCGGTCAGGTACTTGCCGTAGCAGCTTTTGAGACGGATGATCGAGTCAGAGCTGGCGCCAGATGCAAACTCGACGGACCAGCGAGCAGTTTTGGAAGATCCACTACGGTCTTGGTTAACCGACTCCTCGTCGTTGTCGGCGACCAGGTACTTGTCGTGATGGCTGCGGAGGCGGACGGTCTTGGCGTTGCGGAAGAAATCCATGGCGGATCGAAGGTTGTTGGCGGAGCAAGATTTGAGCTGTAGAATAAGCAGAGGAAGTGCTCAAATTTATTTGGATTTGTGTCCGAACAAAGAGGGCAGTGAATTTATATGAAATGCTGTGATTAGATTTCTATTTGATCCAGAACCGGGAAATTTCTAAAGAACTGAACGATTGTCAAAAGTGGTAAAAGAAAGTCAGCTATAGCGATGCGAGTTGAAACTACGCGGCATTAAAGTGATGAGTCTGACACCCCCTTCGCGCTGCTCACGGCGTAAGTCATGCGGCCCCTCGAAGATGTTAAAAATACGTTGTCAAGACGGGATTCTTTTCTTTTTTTCCTTTTTTTTGTTTGTTAATATAGTAAGTAGGATATAATGCATTAATAATTTTATTCAAATGATTTAAAATAGAATTATAAACCATCATGAATTTAGAAAGGAAAAAAAAAAAAATGTTACCTAATTATGCATAAATTTATAATGTAAGCTTAATTAGTAATTACAAATCTACATAGTGGGTTAGAAATTTAAAACTAACTAATTTATTTTTAATATGAATTGAAAATACATTTATAATAAATAGGCGTAAATTCCATATTGAGAATATATTTTCATCCCATATCCCATTTATCTAATGGGTAAAAAATGTTCTCAACTACCGTCTAAAATAAGGATCTCTTCCGATTTAGGGCATATCCCGGCAGTAATAGTAGGTTGGTAAAATAGACATTTCTACGTGGGTTAGAGAGCATTTTCGTAATATATAATATATAATATTGGTATGAAAGAAAAAATGAAGGGAGAAGCGTGGTAGGTAGCCGTAGAAATGGTGACCCTTATTCTCCAAACCAGTGCGATCTTCCTCATTCCACACTTTAATTTAGCTTTTTCAAATTTTTTTAATAATACTAGAATTTTTATTTATTGTATTATAAGGAGTTAGATTGTGAAACAAAGAATTAAAATCAGAAAAGGTAATTAAAATATTCAAGCAGATCAATAAAATAAAATAAAATAAAATAAAATTGCAGGTGGAGAGAATTGTTCGAACCTGGAACGTGGAGGATCGCCGAACAGATTTGGGAGTGGCCGGAGAACTTTTTCCAGAGGCGGAAAACTCATCGGAAGAATTAGACATCGACCACGTCCTTCGACTCATCAATAAACAATACTTCGGAGTTTCATCCACCGCTTCCACGTCCCACAAAATCCACCCCTTAGTGGAGGAGAATCGCGGCTCATCATGAGTCACAGAGTTCCTCCACGGCGGAGTAACCCCGTTCCCCCTCAAAAACGTACCACACCAACTCATCAACTTCACCCGATCGCCGTCGCGTACAGGCTCCCACTCCACACTCCACGGCGCACCGAGATTTTCGTATTTGGTTTGCAGCGTCACCTTCTTCCCAGTGGCACCGAGTAAAAAATTAAGGTCAGTAGCGGAAAGGTAACGGCCATGGCAACTCTGGAGACGAATTGCACCGATTTTTCCCTCGACGAATTCGACGCTCCAAATGGCGCCCTCGGCGGAGGCCTTAGTGGTCTGGCGAACGGTTTGGCGATCGTCGTTCGCCAATAAGTACTTACAGAGGTGGCTCCGGAGCTTGATCGAAGTGAAAGAGGCGAAAAACTCCATGGATTAGAATCAGAAGCTGAATCGGTGCGTCTGAATGGGGTGGAAGGGGGAGAGGGCTAAATAGGTAAAAGAAGGCCCAGAAATGCAGAGGACTTGAGTCAATTCTTCAATGGAGAACACACGTCATATTTTAAATTACTTTTATATATGTTTTTAATTTTGATCATACACGTTATCAAAATCTATGATATTAAGTTTAATTAGGATTGTTCTTAGAGGAAGGGAAAATATTTAATGCTTTTGCTTTAGACAGGAATTGATTTAAAGGGGTGAAATTAAAAAGGATGTATTATAAATGGTACGATAATAATTAGGGAGGAAGAAGAGGTACCAAATGGATACAAAGAATTATAATTAATTGATGAGGGAGTTGAAGGAGTGGAAGAGGTCAAACTTTCTTTAGTCAACAAAATTCAAAAATGACTTGGTCAACCCAAAATTTGAAAACAAAGAAAGAAATAAGAAGGGTTTTATTATTATTATTATTATTATTATTCTTTGTTGGGTTATGTCTTCACGTGACCTTTCTCCTCCGTCCTCCTCCACTCCCTGAGTGACCCCATTTTCACTCCTTCCTAAGGCCATCGTCATTGCTAAACGAATCTCCCTTCTTCCCTTCTTTGGGTTTCAGATTTGGATCTCCATTTTCATGTCCCCATGCCTTCTCCCTCTTCCTCTCTTACTCTTCTCGCCGTTCTTCTGTCCTTCATTCACCTCGTCCAATCTCTGACCTCTTCTTGTCCGCCTTTCTCTTCCAAACCCCTTTTCCCCTTCTCCTCTCTTCCGGGTCACGGCCATCCTTCCTTCCACCTGCGTTGCTCTTCTCCCCACTCTCTTCTCTCCGTTAATGGCCTTTCCTTTTCTCTCTTGAGTTTCAATGCCACCTCCTCCACTCTCCTCCTTTCCCCTCTTCCCCTCACTCTCAACGAATCCACCCACACCTGCTTTTCTCCTCGTTTCTCCTTTATTCCCACCCGTTCCATTAACTTCTCCGCCTCCCCCTTTCGAATCTCTGATGGGTATTGTTCTAGGCTCTCTGTTCTTCGCCCCTGTTCGCCTCCGCATCTACCCAATTGCAGCCATTGCCCTTGGGACTGCAATCTTATCAAGACACCACTTCATTTGCTCCATGGATGCGGCGTCGAGCGTCAGTCCGTCTCGAAGCAAGGTTGTCAGGGTGAGGTGTTGGAGTATTTGGATCGAATTCTTAGATTGGGGATTGAAGTCGAGTGGGATACAGATCAGGACCCTTATTTTGTCAAGTGTAAAGATTGTGAAGCTAGAAATGGTGATTGTGGATTCAATTCCTCTGACCCAGATAGGCACTTCATTTGCTATCATACTCAAACCCGATACTCATTTCCCAATAGAATCGCGATTTTGTTCTCTGTTTTTGCGTTGATCTGCTTGTTTTTGGTTATTGCGGTGACCACGGTTTTTTTAAGGTCCAGATGGTTGAGATCCCTTGCTAGTGAAGTAGACCCCACAGCCCTGTTCCTCAGCCGTCATCGTTCACCTAATCTTCTCCCACCAGTTTTTCCCTACGAAGAGCTCGAGTCCTCAACTAATCGGTTCGACCCCAAGAGGAAACTGGGCGATGGTGGATTTGGGTCTGTTTATTTGGGTCAGCTTAACGATGGCCGATTAGTGGCTGTCAAGTATCTTCACAAGCACCACGGCGCCGTCGCCACCGCCCCCTCCGGCAGGGCTTTCTTCACCAAGTCGTTCTGTAACGAAATCTTGATTCTTTCTTCAATTAATCACCCGAATCTCGTTAGGTTACATGGGTATTGTAGTGACCCAAGAGGGCTTATTCTTGTCTATGATTATGTCCCAAATGGGACACTCGCCGACCATCTCCATGGCGCAAAGAGCTCGTATCGTAAGGGATCTCTGACTTGGCAAGTGAGGATTGACATTGCCCTGCAAATCGCCATGGCTATGGAGTATTTGCATTTCTCTGTGGCGCCGCCGATTGTTCACAGAGACATTACCTCTTCCAATATTTTCGTGGAGATCGATATGAGAATCAAGGTTGGGGATTTTGGGCTTTCAAGGCTGCTGGTTTTCTCAGATACGACGTCGTCGTCTTCATCTGGGTATGTCTGCACTGGTCCTCAGGGGACACCTGGTTACTTGGATCCGGATTACCACCGGTCCTTCCGGTTGACGGAGAAAAGTGACGTGTACAGCTTCGGAGTGGTGTTACTGGAGCTAATTTCTGGTTTAAAAGCGGTGGATCAGAGTCGGGAGAGAAGAGAAATGGCGCTGGCGGATCTTGTAGTGTCCAAGATCCAAATGGGTCAGCTTCATCAGGTGGTGGACTCCGTTTTAGGCATCGACGGCGAGGTTATCGGCGGCGTTGAAGCGGTGGCAGAGCTAGCGTTTCGATGCGTGGCGGCGGACAAGGACGACCGACCCGACGCCAAGGAGATCGTTGAAGAGCTCCGGCGAATTCGGAACCGCACACGTGGAGGTGACCGGTCGTCGATTTCAAACGTGGGTGATGACGTGGATATACGTTGATTAGTTGAAGGCCCACTTGCGCATGTGGGGATTTGACGGATCTAAAGAACAGCGACGGGACACTTTCTGGATGCTTGCCTGTAAAATGTCAAAAATCCACGTGGCTACTACATCTACTCAGCTCAACTGAATCAGCTGACAGCTGAGAGATGACTGTAAAATGTCAAATCCTACGGAGTTGTAAAGAAATAAGAAAGCCACTAATTTCATAATTCCACTCTTCAAGAGATAAATTACATGTCCGAATCACATCCCTTTTCCGTGTCGTTCTGTCTTGTTCAACTCATATTTTACATGGCAGCGGCGGTCAACTTCAAGATTACACAGGCAGTAATCTATCCGTGGGTTAAAATTTGTCCAAAAAACAAACACACTTTGATAGAACATCATGAACACTTCATGGTAATTACTTGAAATGAGCCTTCTCCAAGCTCCTGGCTTTGTCTCCGGCAATGGCAGCTTCCTCTGGCCTTCCAAGTTTGCTGTACCCTCTCTCCTGCAGGAGTCGAAACGAACCATATTTTCATTGGAAAACTCGACTGTGATCGATAATAGTGAAACGTGAGAGTAGCATTTATACCAGAAGGCGCCACAGATATGGGGCTTCTTCCCTTTTCTTGATCTGTTTCTCGATTACTTCGATCGCTATATTATGTAACTGTGAAAGTCATGCTTTGAAGAAAGTCGTAATATGAGAAGGAATAGAAAAGGTGGAACTTTCTTCTTACCCTTTGCAGCATGCCCTGTGTTCATCAAAATGTCGTACCATACTTCATTAAATACATCGAGTTGTTCATTTGATGCACCAATCATCTGGAACATAATCAGAAGAATATGTCTTGGTCATAAGTCAAACCAAGTTGATAGAGATGAAGAAATATATATCAGCGTTGATATTGATACCTTGCAATCATTTGCATCAAAATCCAAACCAAGCAAGTCTAATGCGCGTTTGTAATCTCCTCTCCCGTACTTGTAGAGAGCTTCTGCAAGCTGGAAATACACAAACAAGGTCATGAAATTGAAAAGGAAGAATAAACTTGCCTTAAGTTCTGTTCACTAAAGCAGTTGACAAGATGGATTCAACAGTTTTGTGCCAGCATAAAACAGTTCCAAAATTCAAAATGAACATGTCAAAATGCTGTTTGAACTTCTGAAGGTCATGTACATATTTCAATTGAATAATGAGTTGAGCTTGCAACAGGAAACAAAAATGAAGGAAGGCAATGTAATAGTTCAAACCTACCTCTAGTAGATATTGTTATCTTTGGGCTTTTCCTTCTGGTTTCCCCTCAAGGTTCTAAAATGTGTCTGTTAGAGAAAGGTTTTCACACCCTTGTAAGGAATGTTTCGTTCCCCTCTCCAACCGATGTGGGATCTCACAATCCATTTGTTAGAGAGAGATTTCCACATCTTAATAAGAAATGTTTCGTTCCCCTCTCCAACCGAGGTGAGATCTTCTAAATTAGTTATAATGTAAGATCTTCTAAAGTAGTTATAGGGAAACAAAAGGTGTCACAATCATAGGTTACAAATAAAGAGCCCAAGATGTGTCGTGAATAGACCACTTAAAGGGTACACGAGACTAGAAAAAGGAAACAAACCAGCATTCCTCTTTGCATCTTTTCTTGTTTCTTCGGCGTCATTTTCAACATTCTACACAAAAAGACCAATAACAGTAAACAAAGAGCCACAAATGAATAAGAGTGTAATGAGAGAAGATTGTATGAACCGGGACTTCAAGCTCCCAAGTAACTCTTCTGCTGCAAAAATCTCTCCACTTTTAGCCAAAGCCCATGTTGTCAACAAGTCAAAGTGCCACTCTAGATGCCAGTTAGCCTGAAAATAGCGGTTAACTCTAGATTATTCAAGAATACTTCACGTGAAAAAGAATGAGAATGAATCAGCTAGCTGATTGAATTCAAGCCTTGCGCTTCCGCCATCAACTGTGCTTTCTCTAAACTTCACAACATAGACAGGCGTTTTAGTAGGTATAGAGGAAAGAATAGGCTTGTCATTATCATGCATAAATCCTGTAAACAGGTTTCATACAAGTATAGCATAGAAAACCAAGATCGTAAAACATATGTACTTTGGCAGGGGGAAGGATGTAGACAGAATCCCAGATGTGTAAAAGGATATCATTTATCTCTCTGCCAACGGTAAAAGAGGGTCGGAAAAGGCAGATCGTTTTTAGACCAATATACAGAGAACTCCCTTGTGGTGTCAGCTATGAATAGTCATCGAGTCCCGGAAAAGGGTAGAAGAATGGGACCTATGACGTATGATCATTATGCTTCAACCGGGTTATCATATCCCACCTTGTCTTTTTCACCCGTCATCATTATTATTAGGATTTAGTTAGTTGGTTGGTTGAAGGGAAGGGAAGGATCGCAACTCACCTTATCGGTTAAAACATTGGCCAAGATCTTCAGACGACCCTCACATGGACCAAATTCACCACGAACAAACAACCGCAACATCAAACCAAGGGCATTCAAGTATACCTGAAATGACAAAATTTAAGACTTGAAATTAAAGAATAATTGGCTGCATAGACAGTAATATTGAAATGAAAAGTACATCTGGTCCCATAGCATCAGGCTTTTCCAACTCTTTCCATATATAGTTGTCATATATTTCAAGGATTTTACTCAATGGAGAATTGGCTTCCAGGTAACAGAGAGCCACATGCCACCAATTATGTGTCACCCTGAAAATTGATATTTTCCAAACATACAATATATCAAACAGACAAATCCATTCAAATAAAAACTCTGATTCACGAAGTTTAATGTACATACAGGAACGACAAACAGTCACTCCACGTAGGCGAGCATGCTTCCATAAACTCAACCGCTTCCTTAAACCGACACCTATATTGAAGAACATGGCATAACTGCAAAGATTCAAATGTTACAACAATAGCCAGGATGTAAATTGAATCATTGTTAACTAATGTTTTCTTACAGATCTTTCATCAAATACATGAGATAATGTGGCTTTCAAATGACACTCACCGCATGCTGTGCCCAACCATCTTTCTTGTTGATATCAAGTCCCCTTTTTGCAGCCTTCTCAGCTTCTTCCATGCAACCAATCTCCAACAGAGGAAAAGCTAGCATGCCATAAATGAATCCTTCTTCTTGATTTTGGGGTAAAACCTGTAAAATTAATCCTTCAAAGCTTAAAATTTTATGTATTCTTCACAGTATTCAATAAGTGAGTATTTGGAAGAATCTATCGATATACTTAACATTCAAATTCATGCATACGCCAGTTGTAAACTGATCGGGTCTCAGCGTTTCCTTTTGTTGGGCTAAGCAGCCTTTAATGTCCTATTATGCTCTTCATTTTTATCTCAATAAAAGCAGGCTTTCAATAATTTCTTTATTAAAACCTCCTATAAACTGATAAGTAGGAAAACTAGTTTCTTAGGTAGAAATGGCACCTGTTGAACCAAAGCCAAAGATAGATCGGGATTTCCCATGTAAAAGCATAGCACTTGAGCCTTTTTCAAAGACAATAGATCCTTTGGAAAACTTTTAAGCAACTGCAGAATCAAATAGAAGAAAATATCAAGAAATAAGACTGTACCTCTGAAGATAGCCCATCACCACTGTGGCTTCAAATTATCCGAATCTACGTCATAAAAAGAGCCAAAGTTTTCTAGTAGATGGTCTCTCAAAATCACTTAACCTTTGAGCTTATTTGAGGTCTAAACCAAAAAAGGTTGAATATGAAAAGCTAGGGATGGCATCAGAATTGACATCCGACAATCCTCATAACTTCTTAGATCAAATTAGTGGAAATTTTGAAAGATCAGTCTTCGAGTACCTGAGTGAGCAATTCAACAGCAACATTATCGTCTCTGTCGTTGGACATCAAACAACTGATAGCGTCATAAACGGCTTTCTCGTAAGGGGTTGCACGATCCTCATCAAAATAACGACAATTCAAGCAATTTGTCAACAGAAATCTCCAATGACCACAGAAAGATACGAAATGGACATGTTCATACCAAAAAAACAAAGTGAAAACTAACCAGACGGGCCTTGGCTGCTTGGAGATGATGATGAACTCGCGAAGGATCGGAGGATGAAAGGAAATAGGCAGCGAAAACATTCGCAAGCACACAGTCTTTGTCATGAACAGGCGCCTCCAGAATCACAGACCTCCTCCTCCCGTAACTAAGCACCTTGAGTCAATTACATTACATCAATTAGAAAAGAAAAAAACCCAACACCCCATTTCAGATAATCGAAAATTGAAGAACCCCAATGGCGGAAGATCCAGGGAGAAGAAGAACCTGGTCATAGAATGCATTAATGGCGGAGATGCAAGAGTCGGATGATGTTATAACTTCGTATCCCCATTTGGTCAATTTCAGACCATCTTCCATGGTTCTGACTGCGACCGTAAGAATGAGTCGCTTTCTCGGCGCAGAAGATTAATCCCCAAATCCCCTGAAATTGAACCAAAAACGATAGAATTTGTCAGCTAGAATCGGATAGAAATTGGATTCTTGTTTAATTCGATATCCACTATCACTTACGACGTGGTGTTGGTGTCTGAGAGTGCCCAACCAAAGTCCAGCCCCATGTCGGTCCAAATCGCATAAATTTATTACGATGATTAAGGAAGCAACGGGGCGTGCGAGGACAACAATGGCTGTCGTTTTCCATTAATATAGAATTTGCTAATTGCTTACATCCAGCAGCTGCGTTCTGATGCCGATCATCGCCTCCTCCACGCATCTCCCACCTGAAACTGTTCTAACCAAATATAAATTCCTTTTTAATATTAGGTCAATCTTTTGGAAAATTCTTTTTAATCTGTATATTTGGTCCTTAAATTACCATTTTAGTTGTCGAGTTTAAATTTTTTTAAAAAATAAAAATATATTCTCTCTCCTGACTCCTCCCGTTCTTCCCTCCCTCTTCATCTACCTCTTCCCCTCTACGATTTCGGAATCGGCGGTCGGATATTTCCGTTTTGCTATCGAATCCCCTGGATGAAGGGCTGCGGCGTTCGTTCTGCTACGTCCGGCCGGATCTCTTGAGGCTTTCGTCATCAAATGTTCAAACCACCACTTTCCCATCAGTTTCCGACGCCTCTTTCTAAATCTCTTTTGATCTGTATTCTTATAATAACATTGATCGAGCTCGATTTCTTTCGTTTCAATCCCTAGAAACACGATCACTTCGGGTCCGATCGTAGAAGGGGAGGGAAAACAATTTGAAAGGGGATGTATGATAAATTTAGAAAGTAGCAAATTGTGATCAAATTCTGTTGTAACACAGTCATGTTAAATCCCTCATCTCTAGAATTTCTCAATATTGAATGCCAGAACTTGAGATAATCTTACCTGATAAACCCAATTGTAGAATGAATGGGATGAACATAAACAGGAAATAAAAAGAGGAAAAAATGAATGAATTCATCAGGTAAAAGAACCTTCCTGATTAAATTTAACCCACTTATAAGTTATAATATAGTATGTACAGAATTGGACTAAAGCTGCAAAACTTGTTTGTTCTTCTGTGTTCCTCTGTTCTTGAATTTCCAATTACCCATCTGGATTTGGATAAATATCATATCATATCATCTCATGTTGCAGCACTGAGGCTTTGTTTGTTGCATCAACTTTTCCCACAAGCACATCATCTGTCTTGGAGATTGGTAATGTGCAGTTAGATAATCTTCAATACACCCGAACTGGCAAAACCTTAGACTGTGAAGGAATTCCACTGGTTTTGAACTGTTGAACTGCTCCACCCACATTCCCATGCTCACATCTTCCATCTTGAATAACTGTGTGTTTTTTCACTATTATTAGCTCAACTCGTCAAATGCCATTTATTTGTGGGGAGGGGAGAAGAAAGGAACTGTTTCAAACATACCCTTAATTTGTGCTTCTCAAATTCAGATACTATATACTCCGCAATGTCGGATGATAAAATGTAACCCGGTCCATTGGCGTAAGCTGGGTAATCTTCTTCTGGCCATTCCTGAATAGATTGAAACAATAATCGAATCGTATGAGAGATCGGTCTATGACTCTTGTATATGGCTAACTGAACAAGGATGCATCTTATACAAGGTTCAAATCCCCCACCCATAGCAGCACTATGAACATCAGGACTGCAAAATGATATCACTAGTAGGCATGCTTACAGTCATACCTCGTACGTCACCGCCCATTTTCCATAACGAAGAGGTTTATGGTGATAGTTCATATTTCCAACATAAAGGCTCCTGCCCGCTCGCACCTTGTGAGCTTCATCAATCACTGCATCTACTCTAACAAATGTATCATCATCACACTTCATGATATATTTTGCAGCCACTGTGCGAACCTGCAAGATCGAAACATGGAATGATATTGCCAACAACGAAGTGCCTAACTCACAAGGTTTGTGTCCTTTTCTCAAAACTCACCCCATATTCACAGATTGCAATTGTCTTCAGTACAACAAGATCATAGTTATCCATGTAAGGAACCATGACGATATCCCCGAAGTACTCCGCTTCTTTCTTTAACTCAATATTTACTTCCTTTCTTCCGTGCTATCAGAATATAACACAGAAGTTACTATCACTACCATAATATAAATGATGGAATATTTCTGAGAAGCACACCACCGCTTACCATTGCCACAAAAAACCGAGCAACGACTAGTGAAGATCTGATCAACTTATGCTGCATCCAAGACTTCCTAACCGCCATTCGTTCTGCAAAATGATTGCCAGCAGAAAGGATGCCAATGAAAAGCTCCATGTTTTTTTCGGGAAGTGGAGGGGCTTTCCATTGTGCCAACATCTCCATATGCTTCTTTGGTGCAAAACTAGGATGTGCAGTGGGTAAGGAAGCAGCAAAAATGGAGTGCACGTCTATATCGCCATTTACAGATAAACCAGTGGCATCCTCCAGAACAAACCCCTGTCATCATCATAGTTTAAAAACCTCCATGGAGTTCCAAATTTGAAGAACATATATAGAAAGAGTACTTACAGTGCGATATGGAAAAGACGTGACGTGCCTTCCATCGACATTGATATGGTAACCTTCCAGCCCAGCACTCACAGTTAGAACAAATAGTCTGCCCTCCGCGAAAGGAAATGGCCAATCTATCGCCACCTTTTTCGTGCGTCCTATTAACCTATTTAACCACCATATTACCTTCGATTCTTCAGAACGGCTGTTGTCATCACGAATCCACTTCTCACATTTTACCTGCCCGTCAACTTCATAAAATCCCGATAGTAGGTTAGGAAACGTCTCACTTGAAGAAATCGGTCAAAAAGAAGAAAGTGCACAGCAAAATCTACATACTTCAAATATGATCTTCAAAATCTTGATAACAATAAATTAGTATAGTAATTTTTCATATCACAAGTCATTTTACTGAAAGCAACACAGAAAATTCAGGATTTGCACAAAACTTGCTAGTATAAGATTCAATACATTATAGCAACCACCTTGAATCTCCAACACATAACAAAACTGGTTCAGTTCAGTACGAAATTCTTATCAATAGACAAAACAATCACGAGGGAAAATGAAAATAAAGCATTTTCAAACAGCATGAAAGACAACTTCTTACCAGTTTCTTCATCCGCCCTGGATTTCCATCCCTCACATCTCAGCGCTGTGCTCCACTGCATCCTATAACAAGTGTTCTGTTCGATAACAGGCTTGCCACTCCAATCTCCCTTCAACCTTGGATTGAAATGAAGTATTCTTGGTGGGTCTTCGCCATCCACCGTCTTCAGCCCTTGCAACTCCATCATAAACTGTGATACCATCACTGGATCATCCCCTTCCCTCAAGATTGAAATCTTGGGATCCTGTTCTGAGTGAGCCCAACGAGGTGTCCCCACCACAGTAATATGCGACCAGAGCGTCAAGCCGCAGGGGAGCACCATAATCCGATTCTGTGTCTCAAATTCGGATCCAGAAAGCGTAATCGAATGTGGACATGACTCCGACTCATTTTCTGTCTTTGTTTCAGGTTTGAGCTCAATCTTCCCGGACTCTAAGTCCTCCCAGAGCTTTGTCCCCACTACCCAAGCATGCTTAGCCGCTTTTTGAAGCTCGGAAAACTCGCCCTTACTAGCATTACGATCAAATGTGGCTTCGTCAAACACTAATCCCGAAACTTTACTGAACTCACGCATTCGCCTCTCGGGTGTCCGATGCGGCGAGCCATAAGAAATCTTAAAGGGATCATCAGATGGTCGACGAGGGGCATCCTTATCCGCCATTTCCTCTTCACTTTCAAGCAGAAACGACCTCGGCAAAGCGTCGCTGGTGAATCCAAATGTTTCATCACCAGGCACCGACTCATATCCGGTTCGATACACCAGCGGGATTTCAAAACTCATCAAAAGCAGATATAAAAACACCAAACCCATCAAAATTTGAAGCAACCTGATTCGATTTAGCGATACCATGGAATCAAATTTCCCCCGTTTCATCTCAAGGCAGTTTAGAACCACCCCCAAAAGAAAAAAAATAAGAAATCAATCGTAAACAACAACAAATGCAAGAGTTTATCCTATGCAAACAAACTTTTAACTCCCCCTTTCTACAATCCAAAATTCCCCTCCAACCCTAACCCTAGTTAGTGGCATACCCAGTAAAATGGAAACGAATTGAAGCTCTGGAAAACTAAGCTGAACAACAACACCTCCGTAATATCCCTCGCATTTGCAAAAATAATTAAAAACTCACATGAAATTTGTATTCATCTCCGTTGCAATAAAGGAAAAACGATGAAAACGACAGCGTGTTACCGCTCACGTGGCCTCATTTCTGCACGCTTTCCATTTTCAACCTGTCACAACCATTCTTTAATAATTCCTTTTATTCTAAATTAAAAAATTAAAATTAAAAAGAAAAAGGCAAGTGGTGGTGGGGAAGCACACCTCATCCCAGCTCTTACACGACGTGTTTTAAATATTTTTATTATTATTTAGAATCTTTTTTTATTTAATTATCTTTTAATATATATCCTTAATTAAGATATTATCCAAACATTTTCTACTTAGAGCTAAAATCTGATTAATTTGGTGTGAACTTACTGGTTAAAGAGCTTGTGACACGTCAGAAACTACAGGTTTCCATAAATGAGTAAAAAAAATGGATGGTGCCACGTGTCCCAGAACATGCATGAATTTAGATAAATTAAATTGTTTCTTACATTAATTTCGCAAATGTGTCTGCGAACCTGAAGAATTGTCGGTTTGGCTAAAAGTCAAAATATTCGACGGTCAACCATTCTCCCATTTTCTGAGATCCATGCAGATTTATGGCATAAGCGACGACGTATGACTTCTTATTTTATTTATTTATTCTTCCTTTTTCTGTTTTGTTAATTATATTTTTTAGGGGAATTTATTATTTGTAATTTTTCCGTTAATATTCTAACTAATTTTTGGAATATACCATTTATAATTTCATTACTAATGTTTTAACATTTTTAGTTAAATTACCGATTTCATTTCTAATATGCTTTACTAACTTTTATTTTTGTATTTTAGAGGTCCAATTTTAATATAAAGTCATTAAGTTTAATCTATATTAAAATTATTTTTTCTATTTTTTGTTTATCGATCAAACATTTTTCAAAATTCACAAATATATTAAATGTAAAAAGTAGTTTTTTTTTTTTATAGTTAATAAGATATCATTATTTCGAATTTTATAGGTTTATGAGTTCAACCTTGGTCGAGCACGTTGAAATTCCACTTTGCTACCCTCCAAAGGCTCTACCAACTGGAAAGGTGAGCTTTTGTAGCTTGATCATTGTAAATGTTTGATTAATCCACCACACCCAAATGGTGGTGAGAGTTCTCTTATTTATAATCATTTACAGAATACAGAAATAAGGTAAATTACAAATAATAAGGAAATAGCGATAAAAGGAAAGAATAATAAATGAATACAATATATTTGCATTTAGTAAAAGAGAAAATATGGTAACCCGTAATGTAAGGCAAATATCTAGATATTTGCCTTAATGAACGGTCAACTATCCTTAACACCCCCCCGCAAGCTGAGCGTCGGATTTGAACGAACATGAAGCTTGGATCTGAAAAATTCAAAGAGAGGTCGAGAAATACTCTTTGTGAAGATGTCAGCAACTTGGAGATGAGAGGGTACATATTGTGTACGAAGTTTGCCAGCGATAACAAGTTCTCGAAGGAAATGATAATCTAGTTCAACATGCTTGGCCCGCTTGTGAGAAACAGGATTAGAGCTCAAAAAAATAGCACTTTTGTTGTCACATAAGAGTAAGGGCTGCTGTGAAATAGGGACCTTGAGGTCATGCAAAATATGCGTAACCCAAAGAAGTTCAGCAGCAGTTGTGGCAAGAGCACGATACTCAGATTCACAGCTGGAGCGTGATACAGTAGGTTGCTTTTTGGCACTCCAAGAAATGAGATTGTTACCAAGATAAATAGAATAGCCGGATGTAGAACGACGAGTATCGGGACAACCAGCCCAGTCAGCATCCGAATAAGCGACTAGCGTACTAGGAACAGTGGATGGACGAAAGATAAGACCAAAGTGGAGTGTTCCTTTGACATAGCGAAGAATACGTTTGACAGCAAGAAAGTGATCTGCAGTAGGGGCATGCAAGAATTGACTGACAGAATTGACAGCATAGG